CAAGTAGCTGGGACCACAGGCGCCTGCCACAGCACCTGGCTATTTTTTGGTTGCAGCCGTCATTGTTTTGGTGGGCCCGGGCTGGATTTGAACCCACCACCTTAGGTATATGTGGCTGGCGCCTTAGCCACTTGAGCCACAGGCGCCAAACCAGGAAAATAAGTGTTTTAAGGCTAAAATCTGTCCCATCAAACATAAAATGCTAAAACGTGGCCTCTTAAAGAACAACTAAGACCAGGCATGGTGTGTCACACCTGTAATCCTACCACTCTGGCAGGCTGAGGCGGGTGGATTGCTTGACCTTATGAGTTTAAGACCAGCCTGAGCAAAAGCAAGACCCCTGTCTCTATTAAAAATAGAAAAAGAAAGGCAAAAGGATCGTTTGAGCCCAAGAGTTAGGGGTAGCTATGAGCTATGACATCATAGCACTCTACCTAGGGTGACAGCTTGAAACTCTGTCTTACAGGCAGCACCTGTGGCTCAGTGGGTAAGGCACCAGCCCCATATACCAAGTGTGGTGGTTCAAACCTGGCCCCAGCGAAACTGCAACAAAAAATAGCCAGGCATTGTGGTAGGGGCCTATAGTCCCAGCAACTTGAGAGGCTGAGGCAAGAGAATCACCTAAGCCCAGGAGTTGGAGATTGCTGTGAGTTGTGACACTATGGCACTCTACCGAGGGCAATAAAGTTCTTAAAAAAAAAAGAAAAAAAAAACTGTCTCTAAAAAAAAAAAAAGCCATAAAACAAGGAACAACTAGGATATGTTAGTAATTAGGGAGATACTGAGGGGACCCAGAGAATTGTCTGAAGCACAGGGAGGAAGTGAGAGTAGAAGAAAAGAATTATTATATGGCTTGGTGCCCATAGCACAATGGTTACAGCACCGGCCACATACACCAAGGCTGGTGGGTTCAAACCTGGCCCAGGCTAGCTAAAGCAACAATGACAACTGCAACAACAACAACAAAAATAGCTGGGCATTGTGACAGGTGCCTGTAGTCCCAAATACTTGGGAGGCTAAGGCAAGAGAATCACTTAAGCCCAAGAGTTTGAGATTGCTGTGAACTGTAACACTACAGCACTCTACAGAGGGTGACATAGTGAAACTCTATCTCAAAAAAAAAAAAAGAATTATTACAATGGACTGTTCATATGACTGTGCCTCAAATTTGATAGGCATTAGCATACATACAAATTTGTTTTAAAATTAGGTTCAAAATCTTAAAACTGCTAACATATGGGGCTATAGTAACATGTACCCTTGGCAGATACTAGAAAGCTAATTATTTTGTAAACTGGCAAATGAAGCAAAAAAAAAAAAATCAAGTATCTGTGTTACTTGTTCTTTAAAAGGGGTATCTCAGGGGCAGTACCTTTGGCTCAGTGGGTAGGGCGTCGGCCCCATATACCAAGGGTCGTGGGTTTGAACCCAGTCCTAGCCAAACTGCAGCAAAACAAAGCTGGGTGTTCTGGTGGGCACCTGTAGTCCCACCTACTTGGGAGGCTGAGGCAAGAGAATCACCTAAGCCCAAGGTTGCTGTGAGCTACGACACCACAGCACTCTACCACCAAGAGTGATAAAGTGAGATTGTCTCTTAAAAAAAAAAAGAGTATCTCAGGAAAACCAAATAGTTGATCATGAAAACTTCTTTGAAGCCTTCAGCAAATAAATCACAAGGATTCCAAATAGATTTCATCCTGATTGCTGATTTAAATGACTAAACGTTTAAAAATACTCACGAGTTGGGCGGTGCCTGTGGCTCAAAAGGGTGGGACACCAGCCCATATGCTGAAGGTGGCAGGTTCAAACCCAGCCCCGGCCAAAAAATATATATATATATTTATGAGTGCTCGCTTCAGCAGCACATACACTAAAATTGGAATGATACAAAGATTACCATGGCCCCTGCGCAAGGATAACAAACACACTTGTGAACTGTTCCATATTTTTAAGTAGTAGATCAACAATTACAGGTGCACACAGAGAGAAAACAATTAAATTCAAGAAGGGGGAGGCCGAAGGGAGTTTGGCAAGTTCTCAACTAATGGGTACAATGTACACGTATATAACATGTTTCCTGGATGAAGGACTTTTTTTTTTTTTTTTTGAGACAGAGCCTCAAGCTGTCCCCTTGGGTAGAGTACCATGGCATTACAGCTCACAGCAACCTCCAACTCCTGGGCTCAAGCGAGTCTCCTGCCTCCGCCTCCCAAGTAGCTGGGACCACAGGCGCCCGCCACAACGCCCGGCTATTTTTTGGTTGCAGCCGTCACTGTTGTTTGGCGGGTCCGGGCTGGGGATTCGAATCTGCCACCTTAGGTGTACGTGGCTGGCGCCTTAGCCAGTTGAGCTATAGGTGTCGAGCTGGATGAAGGACTTAATTGCAAAGGGGGCTTCACCTTAAAACACAAACAATGGGCTCGGCATTAAAAAAAATTTAAAAATTTTTATTTTTAAAAAATTAAAAATATTCATGGGCTGGGTGCAGTGGCTTATGCCTATAATCCTAGCACTCTGGAAAGCTGAGGCAGGTGGGAGACCCTGTCTCTACTAAAAATAGAAAAAATCTAGCCAGGCTTTGTGCCTGCTATCCCCTTGCCTCAGCCTTCCAAGTAGCTGGAAGTACAGGCAGCTAGTTCTAGCTACTTTGGAGGGTGAGGCAAGGGGATAGCTCAAACCCAGTAGTTGGAGGTGGCTGTGAGCTAGGACACCATGGCACTCTACCCAGGTCACAAAGTGAGACTCTTGTCTCAAAAGAAGAAAAAGAAGGAAAAGGAAAAAAAAAAGAAAGGAAGAAAAATGAAAATATTCATGAGACAACTTAGGGCAAACAATCACTGAATATTAGTTTTTTTGATATGATAGTGGAATTATGGCTATGTTAGTTTCTAGAGAGTCCCTGTCTTTTACAATTAAATACTGAAATACATAAACATGGGTAAAATGATACAATATCTGGGATTGGCTTTATCATAATATGGGGGAATCCTACTTTTGGTAACGGTAACATGAGGTGTTTGGCCCTCTCCTACACACAAAGTTTATTATTAACAGTTATTAAAATCAACTATTTCAGAACAGTAGTGACTATGTACTCATAACTACTTGCAAAGTGTGTTTTCACACACACACTAAAAAAATTTGCTATTAAATCAGGTAAAAACTCCATGGTTGTGGCATTCCTATAGAGGGTATTGCTATCTTTCCAGCTGATGTGGTAAAATCCTGCATATTATTGAGGAATAATGGCAGATTCCATTTGGGTTGGATGGGGTGAGAGTATAAAAGTGAAGCAGTCAAAGGAGGGATGAAATAAACTCTGCAGATCCCCCAACTAATTGCTAAATTACATCTTCACACAAGAGGCCCCAGGAAGCCTGGCAAAAACCTAAAAAACCTGGGAGAAATTATAAATGTGCTGTTCTTTAAGTACCTTCCTCAACACATACACAGTTAAAAGAGCATCGTTAGCTTAAGATGTTGGAACATCTGCCTACATTACTGGTTGACTGATAACCTTCCACTACAGTAAAACAACTCTAGAGAATCAGGCTTTAAAAAAAATAAATAAAAAGACTCAGCGCCTGTGGCTCAAGTGGCTAAGGCGCCAGCCACATACACCTAAGCTGGTAGGTTCAAATCCAGCCCGGGCCCACCAAACAACAATGACGGCTGCAACCAAAAAATAGCCAGGCGTTGTGGTGGGCACCTGTGGTCCCAGCTACTTGGGAGGCTGAGGCAGGAAGATGAATTGAACCCAGTTTAAGGTTGCTCCGAGGTAGGCTGATGCTAACCTGCAAGAATCTGTCTCCAAAAAAAAAAAACAAAAAAAAAAAAAAAAAACTAAAAGTAAAAATAAAAATTAACTCAAAATCAATCAAAAATGTAACCTTAAGAACTAAAACTATAAAACTACATAAAACATAGAGGAAAACTTGGGTGGCGCCTATGGCTCAGTGGGTAGGGCGCCGGCCCCATTTACCGAGGGTGGAGCGTTCAAAACCAGCCCCAGCCAAGCTGCAACAAAAAAGTAGCCGGGCGTTGTGGCCGGCATCTGTAGTCCCAGCTACTTGGGAGGCTGAGGCAAGAGAACTGCCTAAGCCCAGGAGTTGGAGGTTGCTGTGAGTTGTGACACCACAGTACTCTACCAAGGGTGACAAAGTGAGACTATGTCTAAAACAAAATAAAATAAAAAGATGTGTTTAGAGAAATCCTTCCTGGTAGGAACGTAAAATGGTATGGCTACTGTGGAAGATAGTATGGCATTTCCCGAAAATATTAAACACAAAATTAACATAGAAATTCTACTCTGGCTATATAAGAAAAAGAATTTAAAACAGGGGCTCAAATTTTTTTCCCCTAAGGTGCAGTCTCCCTGGTCACCCAGAATAGAGGGATAGAGTACAATGGTGTCACAGTTCACTGCAACCCCAAACTCCTGGGCTCAAGCAATTCTGCCTCAGCCTCCTGAGTAGCTGGGACTATAGGTATACATCACCATGCCCAGCTAATTTTTCATTTTTTTGTAGAGAAGGGGTCTCACTCTTACAGGCTGGTCTCCAACTCCTTACCTTAAGCAATCCTCCCACCTTGGCCTCCCAAAGTGCTAAGATTTGGTGTGAGCCACCATACCAAGCCTCAAACAGATACAGTATTTATATACTAATGTTCATAGAGGCATTACTCACAATAGCCAAAAGATAGAAAAAACCCAAATGTCCATTAATGGATGTATGGATGAACAAAATGCAGTATATACCTATAATGGAATATTATTGGGCCTTCAAAAGGAATGAAAATGGTAGGCACAGTGCCCGGGGCTCAGGTGGCTAAAGTGCCAGCCCCATACACCTAAGGTGGTAGGTTCAAATCCAGCCCAGGCCCGCCAAACAACAATGACGGCTGCAACCAAAAAAAGTAGCCAGGCATTGTGGTGGGCACCTGTGGTCCCAGCTACTTGGGAGGCAGAGGCATGAGATTCACTTGAGCCCAGGAGTTGGAGTTTGCTGTGAGCTGTGATGCCATGGCACTCTACCCAGGGCGATAGCTTGAGGCTCTGTCTCAAAAAAAAAAAAAGGAATGAAAATGGCATCTACTATAACACAGATAAATGATGATGACATTATGCTATGTGAAATAAGCCACACAGAAAAGGACAAATATTGAATGATTCCACATACCAAGAATAATCAAACTCATACAAGATAAAAAAATATAACAATGTTTACCAGAGCTAGAGGGAAGGGAGAATGGGGAGTTACTGTTTAATGAGTACGGATTTTAGTACAGGATGATGAAAAAATTCTAAAGAACTATACTGGTAATGATCAGTATGATGTACTTACTGGCTCATGCCTATAATTCTAATAATTTGGTAGGCTAAGGCAGAAGGATCACTTGAGGTCAGGTGTTCAAGACCAACCTGAGCAAGAAAGAGACTCTGTCTCTACTAAAAATAGAAAATTAGCCAGCATGGTGCTTTACACCTTGTACTTTCAGAAGCCGGGGGATTGCTTGAGCTTAGGAGTTTGAGACCAGCCTGAGCAAAAGGAAGAACCAGGCTCTACTAAAAAATAGAAAAACTAGCCAGGTGTTATGGCAGGTGCCTGCAGTCCCAGCTACTAAGGAGGCTTAGACTCAAGCTCAAGAGTTTGAGGTTGCTGTGAGCTACACTGATGCCACAGCACTCTACCCAGGGCAATAGAATGAGACTCTCAGAAAAAAAGAAAGGAAAATTAGCTATGTGTGGTGGCACACACCTGAAGTTCCAGTTACTCAGGAAGCTTAGGCAGGCGAATCACTTGAGCCCAGGAGTTTGAGGTTGCTGTAAACTATGACGAGACCACTGGACTCTAGCCTGGGTGATAGAGCAAGACTTGTCTTTAAAAAAAAAAAAAAAAAAAACTCAAAATAAGCAAAATACTTAAAATGGTAAATTTTGTTACTATGTATGTATATTTTACCACAATTAAAAAAGGTAAAAAAACTCAACGATAAGAAAATAATACAGGATTAGCGCCTGTAGTTCAGTGGCTAGGGCACCAGCCACATACTCCAGAGCTGGCCAGTTCAAATCAAGCCCCGGCCAAACAATGACAACTGCAACCAAAAAAAAAAAAATAGCTGGGCATTGTGGCTGACGTCTGT